TGAGCGGCATTCACGCCATGATTCAGTGCTGGAGTACTGCGTGCACAGCCGGCGTGATGATGCGCCCCCTAGGGGAGGACACGGCCAATGGTTATAAAGACCCTTCTAAATATGTCCTAAAATGACCGTCTACCGGCACCGTTTCCTCTCATCTTCTGTGTTAAATGAAAAAAAAAAGAAAAGAAATTCCTGTACTCATTAATATGAAGACGATGTGGGCGGGGCTAATGGGACCTATAATATTGGCGCCGGTCTGATCGTGATCGGGTGCCCAACCTACGCAAAGTCCATCAATCAATGAAGGAATGAGTCAGGGGACTTTGTCCGGAGATGTGGCACGGTTGTTGGACATGTTGTGCAGCTTAGGATTGCATCATATCGCACACATAGGCTGCGGTGTTGTAAGACTGATCACCTGCAATACACCAAAATCCCCAACCCGCACTTACAAGCTGAACTACAAGGCACAGCATGTCTCCTCAGTAGCCAGGCGGCTGCGCCTCAACAATCCAACTCCAGCTTATATTTGTTAAAGTGGGAGAGCTCTAAGCCCCCTGCGCCCCTGTTACAGACATAGTCCAAAAAAATGTCACCAGCACACCATTTCAACATAAAGCAATACGGTTTTAATGACACAGGAATGTCAATACAAACGTTTTCGGCGGCCCCCTTCCTCAGGTTCAGTGACCCTGTACACAGAGCGAGCCAGGTCCAGGCTAAAAGGACCCAGATACAGGAGCTAAGGGAGGAACGCAGCAGGGATTTCCCTATGTCTGGATGGATCTGCAGCCTGTTGCTTGATCTTCGCCATCAACCTCCCTCTCATGCTCCAGTGTGTGTAAGCGGCCCTGAAGTGGGCTCAGAGAGAGGACGATGGCGGCAGCACAGGGGAGCAAACCATTGGGGCAACTACCGTGTTTCCCCGAAAATAAGACACTGTCTTATATTTTTGTGGGCTCAAAAAAAACACTCTAGGTCTTATTTTCGGGGAAGGTCTTATATTTTTTATGTACAACAATTCGCACTTATTCATGTACAAAAATATGGTAATCAAGGGGTGCCGTACCTTTCCAAGAGCAATTTGGTACCCAATCGCTGGCCAGAATGGGCGGAGCGCGCTTTCACTATAGATTCCTCACAGGCGGAGTGCATTTGGTATCACTCGGCCTGTGACAGGAGCCGGCGCTATAGAGGGGGCATCGACTTATGTGGCTCTGCTCCCTCCGGTGCCGCCTCGCTTCCTCTAGCGCTGGCTTCGTTGGCACCGCTGATTCTCTCCCGCGGCTCTTCAAGTTCCCCCTTATGCCACCACCGGCCCTGGGAATGGTCACAACTAGGTCTTATTTTCAGGGTAGGTCTTATATTTTAGCAATTCCCAAAAATAGTACTAGGTCTTATTTTTGGGGAAACAGGGTAGGTGCACTAGGAAGAATGTGGGCTCTGAATGTGGGCACAGATACACTCGAGAGCTTTCCCAGAACAGTGGAGGCTGGTAAAGCCACAAAGGAACGGAAGGGACACCTCCATCATCTCCATGGTTTTGAAACAGGACGTCTAACAAGTATAGAGGTGCAATGCTCAGGTGCCTACAAGCTTTCGGACGTATAGTGCACCTCCAGAAGAGTCATTACAAGTGTGGCACCGTTGTGGACCTACAAGTCCAATGAAGCATTGCAAGATTCTGACAGCCACATGCATGACTCTGAGGCACGGATATGATGGGATTTGTAGTGTCCCCTAAGCTAGAGTGCCAAAGTTCCCTTCCCCTGCTTTACATCATAAGCACATTGTAGGAGATGAACCTAGAATTTCACTTTACAGTTCACGTGTACTACCGCCAGACTCCCGGACACGAGGTGCCTTCTCCTACCTGACCAGTACTGCCCCAAGCAGCAGAATGCACGCCCATAAAAAAACAGGAGTTCTGGGTACTGGGATTCACATGTGCACTCCTCCTGACATCCCACAATGCAGTAGTCACGGCCTGAGTGAACAATGACCAAGCCTGAGCAGTATCATTGGCGGGCCACCATTTTTTGGAACGTGCATCGAAAAACAACTTCCCCCTGTGAACAAAAAAAAGTGAACCGTTGACAGGGGTTGAGATACTATGGTCCACCTACCCGAAGGCGGGTGGACCCCGATCCTTTGGGCACCTGCCGAAACAGGTCCCACATAGTACTAGGTAGGGGGCTCTCCCGAAGAGAGACCCCCTGGTTGGGAGGAGGCAGAGAACTATATATTAGGGCACAGAACCTCCTCCCTAGCATCGGGAATAGGCCCCGAAGGTACCTGCACCCTAAGCAATCTGTGGGTCAAATAGTCAAAAACAAAAAAGAGGCAAATCGTGCATGAGGTGCAATAAATAAATAAAGAGTGCCACTGCACCACGCTGACAGGCCCTAGGGGCCAGAGTGCAAAAATATTGCCCCGGACTAGCCATAAGGCCTGTCTCGGAGGCGAAGTGCAGAAAATGTGGTGTGTGCACAGTGAGTCATGTGGGGTCCCACACCCAAGTGACTTTCTGAACACCCCTGGGACGCCACCCCCAGGGGGCACAACACCACGGCCTCTGTCGCCTCCCCACCCTCCGGCCAGACCTTGTGGTTCTCCGCTCACATCAGAAGGTAGTTCCTTCAGGGGCCCTCCCACTGTCTAGGGTCTACCCGATACTCTGGGCCTGACGCAACTGGCAGTGGACCGAACCCCATCCAACACCCACCTTTACGTCAGAGGGTACTAGGACGCATCCACCCCTTTCCATAGGTGGCAGCATCCTTTCCCCTCCAACAACTGATAAGAACAGATACTACACTTGATCTTAGCCAAAAGGCCGAGAAAGCGATATTGGCGGGCCACCATTGTCCTATGAAAAAACATACCTGCAGTCAGTGGCGTAACAACCGGGGGGGGAGCAGGGGTGCGGGCCCCGGGCGAAAAGTGAGGGGGGGGCGCAGGCCATAGAAAAAAAAATTCTGCCCCGGGCGCCCAGAACTCTGGTTACGCCACTGCCTGCTGTGTCTGCATAGGGTTTTTGGGGCGGTGCCAGGCAGTCAGGAGCAGGAACCTCATGGTAATTACTACATTAGGGAGCATGAATACAAGTTCATCTTTAGGCCTCATTCACACAGGATCCATCCCGCCTGCGTCTGAGTACAGACATGCGCAGCTCGGGTGAGCGTACGGCCGTGTCCTCCCTTAGGGCAGTACAGACTGCTGCATACAATCAAACGCAGCACCTGTCCTTCCCGGGAACGACTCGATAAGGCCGCGCACGCCACACGGATCTGTACGGGCCGACTCTAAGCTGTGTGAATCAGGCCTTACTCTAAAAGCAGCCTTTCATAAACCTTTCACCATGAAGAAACCCCTGCCACAATGCCCAGGGAACCCCTGCTAAAATAAATTATTGTATCTGTAGACCACTGTACATTAGCCGAACCGTACTGGTGGTCAGCAAGTAGAGGCCAACCATACACTGGGTTTAGTGGAAAGAATGCCCGTTACAGTAGTGGCCAGTGTAATGCACCTAACATATTGGCCAACAGTAGGAATAATGCCCCCTTACATTTTAGGTCAGAATGCCCCTTACATTGGTGGTCAGTGGGAAGAATGCTCCTTACATTGGGGGTCAGTGGGAAGAATGCTCCTTACATTGGGGGTCAGTGGGAAGAATGCGCCTTACATTGGGGGTTAGTGGGAAGAATGTTCCTTACATTGGGGGTCAGTGGGAAGAATGCTCCTTACATTGGGGGTCAGTGGAAAGAATGCTTCGTACATTGGAGGTCAGTGGAAAGAATGCTTCGTACATTGGAGGTCAGTGGGAAGAATGTTCCTTACATTGGGGGTCAGTGGGAAGAATGCTCCTTACATTGGAGATCAAAGAGAAGAATGCTTTGTACATTGGAGGTCAGTGGGAAGGAATGCTCCTCTTGCAGACAACTTACATGACTATTGGTGTCTAAGATACAAGAGGAGAAGCTCCACTGGTCCAATGCAGAGTAACATTAGTGCCAGAACTATACAGGCAACCATCAGTCATGAGCACCAGCCACCATTGCTCACATGACCAGGAACCCCTTGCTACCTCCATGGAATCCTGGTTGAGAAAGGCGGCTCTGTAAATACACTATATTGCCAAAAGTATTGGGATGCCGGCCTTTACACGCACATGAACTTTAATGGCATCCCAGTCTTAGCCCGTAGGGTTCAGTATTGAGTTGGCTCCGCCCTTTGCCGCTATAACAGTTTTAACTCTTCTGGGAAGGCGTCCACAAGGTTTAGGGGTGCGTCTATGGGAATGTTGGACCAATTGTGAGGTCAGGTACTGATGTTGGAGGAGAAGGCCGGGCTCGCAGTCTCCGCTCTAATGATTGGAACACATGAATCCAATGATTTGGAGGGGGGGTCCCAATACTTTTGACAATATAATGTATGTAGGTTTGCAGCAATAACATTGTAACACAAAAAGACAGCGATTCTTATAACCAAGAGAGAAATCATTCTTTTATTGGCATCCTGTGCGACGGACAGAAATCACACTACTAGAAACCGTCGGCCCTTCGTCCACCATCGTATCGCCGTCATAGTGTCGAGTTGCAGAGCCACCCAGGAACGTGTCTCTATCGCCCCCGTGACAAGTCTCCAGCCGAGCTCCTCCTGCTGCAGTCACCACCGCAGCCAAGAACGGGAGCGGCTCTCCTTGTGGCAAGCCGCTGTGTGCGTTTCGCAACGCGGGACCTAAACTATCCCACCGCGCACAGGTTCTCAGTGATTTTCCTCTGCGACACTCTAAAGTGCAATATATTTGACTTTATTTAATTATCATGCATTAAGAATGACTGTACAATCTCTTTACTGCGCGGCAGAGATCCTCGGCTTCATCCTAGGATGCCATAAATCTCCTCGGCACACGTGTGAACTGTGCCTTTAAAACACAGGACAACAACAGGCAGTCATTTTTTTGTTTTTCTCTTGTGAATAATGAAGACACTGTATATCTATTTATATATATTAGATGAGCCTGTGCAGCGATCGCCTTCGTTGACGGGGGCTTCTTGGGGCTTTTCCAGTTTGATGTCGATCACTGAGGAGGGGAAACAAGTTAAGGAAAATAAGATTTTTCTTCAGAAAGAGTCAGAACTTGGGACAGCTGCTAGGAAGCCGGCACGTATACTTCTCTATGTGACGTCACAGAGCAGCAATCACACAATACACTGGTCAGGAGTGACTGTTACAATTAGGGATGCACCGATACCGGTTTTTCTGTATCGAGTACCGATATTTTGCTTTTGGTACTCACCGATACGGAGTACCGACACCGGTGCTTCTGCTGGCATGGAGCCGGCTTCCTGGGACATCAAGAAGCCGGGTGGCGGGTAATAACACATCTCCGAACTTCCTGATTGGCCGGGAAGCCAGCTCCATGTTTGGCCGGAAAACCGACTTCCCAGCCAATCAGTAAAACGGGGGGCGAGTAATAACCCTCCTCCTGGTTCCGATTGGCTAGGAAGCCGGCTTTCCTGCCCATCAGTATCGAGTGGGCTTCCCAGCCAATCAGGGAACCAGGAGGAGGGTCATTACTCGCAGCCCAGCTTCCTGATCGCACGGGAAGCCGGTTCCATGTTCCCCTGCAGCACTGCCGGTGAGAGGAAATCTTCCTCTGACCGGAAGTTCCGGTATCTGGGAATTTATCGGAGCACTTGGGCGAGTACGAGTACTCGCCCAAATACTCGGTATCGGCACCGATACTAGTATCGGTATTGGTGCAGCCCTATTCACAATTCCAAAGTATCTCATTGTGCAGGGCGCTCACAGCATCCTATATTACTACATGAAAAAGAGAGCACCGTGTCCTAACTCTCCCAACTTCCTTCTATTAGTGAAGGCTCATTTAAGGTCAGAGGCCTCATATGAGATCAGCCGTACTAAGATAGCTGGAGGTGCTGCCATAAATGCCGTCTCAGTTTTATAGATGGACCTGTGGCTGCACCTCCAGTGCTCACAGTGTGCCGGGAAATCAGAATAAGCAATTTCATTACAACTGTCCCAAGACTGAAGGAGAGCCGGAGTTCTGCTTTAAAAGAACACGACTCGTCATGAGTGACCCTATAACGACCTTGCTGCAAAATAAAATGGTGTCAGGCACAGGAAAGAGTTAAACTGCTTTTATCTTCATTTCGCGTCAGACAGGCTGCCACGGTAAAACACCTGTGTTTCCCCTGCACCGGTTTTCAGAGACATCCCTCTTTGTAGTGCTATTAGGCGGTGAACATGGCAGCTCGTCTCCTGTGTACACACACCGAGTCATTGTCACAGAACAGCTCTGTCTGCTCGCTGACGCATCCAGACAGAACAAAGGAAATCTCCGACAAGCCAAGATGATGGCGGGGCGACCGGAGAGCTCGGCGCGCTGCTTTCAAAGCCTGATCAGTGACAAAAGATACAACGCACATAAAACATGGCGGAGCGCTGATGCTGCTGTGCGTCACCCCAATTATCTACGTACATGCCGCGCTCTGGCACACGCATAGAAGCGCCTGGTCCATGTTTTCCGGTTTAATGTGCACAATATAATCTGGTCATTTTCGGGGAGAACTGGTGAAAAATTGTGTCTGGATGCCACTGGCCAGACCCTATTCAGAAAACATTCCGATTGCTATTGTGTGCCCCTGGGCACACAAGTGGTGGTTAGCGCTTCTGCCTTGCAGCACTGGGGGTCCTCGGTTTGAATCCCAGCCAGGTCACTATCTGCAAGTAGTTTGCATGTTCTCCCTGTGCTTGTGTGGGTTTCCTCCGGGGTACTACCGTTTCCTCCCACACTCCAAAGACATGCTGGAAGGTTAATTGGCTCCTCTCTAAGATGGCCCTCTATGCATGTATGTGAGATAGGGACCTTAGATTGTGAGCTCCTTGAGGGTAGGGACTGATGTGAATGTGCAACTATGTAAAGTGCTGAGTAAATGGCCGGCTCTATATAAAATACCTGTAATAAATAATAAAATAAGGCATTATCAGTAGCATCTGTTCTCCTGAGCGTACCGGTTTATGGATCGCCCTGCAGACAGATCCTACCTATACACCGGCTCCTATTGTCTATGGGCAGTTGTGAAGCCCATAGACAATAGCCTCCAAGGCACAGAGCTTTGGCTTCAATTTATGGTCTGGGTTCACCAACTGGCCCTGCTATCCCTAGAGGTGAAGGCTACCCAGACCCTAGTGATAGTCACAGGGACACACTAGTGACATGACAGACAGCCGGGTGTGATGGGTGCTGTAGATTCTTTGATTGGTCTAGCACTGCAAGAGAGCTCAGACACATCTCAGGTTTGGGGGTTTTACTTGGAAATGGACTAAGTCATGGGGTGAAGGCAGATCACAAACCCTTGGAAGGGATACTGGACCGAGCCACAGGCCTAGCTTGGGGGTACTGGACGGGGGTCATGGGGCTCTGGGGGGAATCCTGGACTAAGCCACAGGGCATGTGTGTGAGGGAGAAGAGGATAGACTGAACCAATTAATGTGGCACAGGCAGCGATCCTGGACTGAGATATTAGGTCTCCGGGGATCTTGGCTTAAGTCACAAGCCTCAGAAGTTATCCCGGACGTTTTGGGCCCCATCTTGATTTTGCCCCAGGGCTATGGGAATGAAAGTCATACCCCGAATCAGTAAGAGTGAAGTCACAAAAGAAGATATTAAATGATAAGAGTCCCTCCATCCTACAATTAAAGGGTAATGGTGGACCATAGAAGTGTAGTTCTCTTCCAGTTCCATGTCCCTCCAGCACGCAGCCGTGTGGTCTATGTCCGGGCATCATGGAGACTCAAGCAGAGCCAGCCCATCACAAGCTCTGTCTAGCACACCGACACAGACCCCCGTGGCCAATGGCTCAGTGTTGATCACATGACCAGGCAGCCAAATTTATTACAGAACGCACCTAACCACAATTTTGAAGAGAGAGAGATGTAACATTCTGATTTTAGTGAGTAGACACCAGGAAAGGATACTGTCTTCTCTGCTCTTGTCCTGTGAACTTTCCATGCCGGGCAGTGCGGCCGCCACACGTCTGAAAAGCTGAAACATAGAAGAAAAGGAAGCTGTAATTGCAGTGGGGGATAAATGGGCGTGGCATGGGGCGGAGCCAGGGGAGTGTCCTCACCTGTTTTACATTGTATCCGGCTTTAGCGCTGGTTTCGATAAACATTACATTCAGCTCCTTGGCTTTCCTCTCTCCCTCCTCAATGGACACTTGCCTGTGGAAGGAATGGACAATCCCATGTTATCTACAGGAAGATCTCCAACAGTAATTATAAACCCGATTATAAAAGAAAATTCAATGAACTGATTGGCATCAAACATCTCAAGACCTCAATACGTGTGTGTGTATTATATATATATATATATATATATAGCGCCGTCCTTAAGTGATTATACAAATGTCACGGGAACTGTTCTCTGCAGTCAACTGTTGGCTTTAACATATGTAGAGGCGCCCGATCACTTGTACTCTGCCAAACAGTGCCTCCCCCCCTCCCCTTTGCATTGCTGGCTATCCCGGACTCTGCTGTCCCTGTGCAGGCCCAGGACTGGCACGATGGGCATCTGCGGCTAGATGAGAGGGAAATCAGTACACTTCCAGTGTGTTATCTCCCCTCTGCCTATTGAAACCGTTGGCGATAATGGTTTTGTCACCTCCGGGTTTCCGATTTCTTCGGCTGCTGTTGCCGGAGAAGAAGCTGGTGAAGCATGATCTGTGCTCCTTCAGCTTTTTTTGGTCCTTCAACTTTTTTGGCGCCGCCATACCCGGGGCAGGGCATAGGCGCCGCCATACCCGGGGCAGGGCATAGGCGCCGCCATACCCGGGGCAGGGCATAGGCGCCGCCATACCCGGGGCAGGGCATAGGCGCCGCCATACCCGGGGCAGGGCATAGGCGCCGCCATACCCGGGGCAGGGCATAGGCGCCGCCATACCCGGGGCAGGGCATAGGCGCCGCCATACCCGGGGCAGGGCATAGGCGCCGCCATACCCGGGGCAGGGCATAGGCGCCGCCATACCCGGGGCAGGGCATAGGCGCCGCCATACCCGGGGCAGGGCATAGGCGCCGCCATACCCGGGGCAGGGCATAGGCGCCGCCATACCCGGGGCAGGGCATAGGCGCCGCCATACCCGGGGCAGGGCATAGGCGCCGCCATACCCGGGGCAGGGCATAGGCGCCGCCATACCCGGGGCAGGGCATAGGCGCCGCCATACCCGGGGCGGCCAGAGACGACGCCAATCCCCAGGGCAGCCATAGACGACGCCAATCCCCAGGGCGGCCATAGACGACGCCATATCTGTACTACATAGTGGCCTGCTGTGGTGACCATAGAGAAACCAGGAGGAATCTTCATCCTTCACCACTCTACAATAAAAACAAAACAAAACTGTTGTATTACTGTTGGTGTCCCGGCTGGATACATTCTATTTATGGTTCGGGGAAGGAACAAATCAGGGACAGAGAGCAATAATAACTGGACAGGGATTCCAACCATTTCTCTTTTCAAAGCGAGCCGGAGCTCCACTTTAAAGTGCACAAAGTTGACATTACCTCTTATCAGCAAGATCTGTTTTATTCCCCACCAGCATGATGATGACATCACTCCCCCGCTCCGTCCTGACGTCATCGATCCACTTTGTCGTTTGCTGGAATGAGTTCACGTCTAATGAGGAATAGCAGGAAGCCGGGTTAAGGTATAGTGCCGGCAATAGAGGACAATGAGCGCTCACAAGTGCTGATCCCTATACCAACCTGACACACAGACATGTTGTCCTACGGTCCCTGTAATGGGGCTTTCCTGCAACCATGGCAATAATAGACACATCTAACTGCAGTCATCTCCTGCAATGTCTTAAGTTTTATTGCACTGTGAACCCCAACTCTAGTGAGATCCCCGCTCGGGGTGCTGTATGTGTACTGAGATCCTCCCTAAGGGTGCTGCACATGTACTGAGATCTTTGGCGAGGGTGCTGTAGGTGTACTGGGATGCTGAGCTTTTATGAGGTCATGAGGTTTGGGTCATGAAGGAAGAAGGGGCAGGGGAAGGCATGGGTGGCTCATGGCAATTCTAAAGTCATGGGGTGAATAGATTGTGCTGTGGAGCGAGGGGAGATCCTGCTTTGCCTGGGGAGGGAATACTGGACTGAGTTGGTGGGCCTGGGGAAGATATACTGGACCCGACATGGTCCTGGGGAGGGAATACTGGACTGAGTCATGAGCCTGGGGAGGGGATACTGGACTGAGTCATGAGCCTGGGGAGGGGATACTGGACTGAGTCATGAGCCTGGGGAGGGGATACTGGACTGAGTCATGAGCCTGGGGAGGGGATACTGGACTGTCATGGGCCTGGGGAGGAATCCTGTCCTGGTGGTAGACCTTCACCTAAATGGGTTGGACTTGATGGACGTAGGTCTTTATTCAACCCCAAATACTATGTAACTATGTAAATGATCTTATTTATGACAACCTGTTAGGATTACCATACAGGAGCCGCCACTGCGAACTTGGTTCTCATATCACAAGTAAGCTCGCAGAGTTAGATTAGATAAAGGCGACTATTTACATTCCTATATAAAAGAATTGTGATTGCCTCTCCTGAAGGCTTATAGATATGAAAGATTTTGAAACACTTTGGTTTTAGAAAGCCGTCACTGTGATCAACTATAATGGGAATTAATCACATTATGAGAGCGAACAGAGAGAGGGGAAAAAAAGACACAGAAAGGGGAAAATAAAAGGGGGG